TTTGTCCGCTATGCGGGGCAAAATTTTAGCGATCAAAGCGTCCGCTATGCGGATTGTCCGTTATGCAAGGCGTCCGTTATGCGGGGGTCCACTGTATATCGGAAAATTTACTAAGGAAATGTTTCGTCAGCCAGTGGCTTCTTCAGTCCAATACAAAGAAGAACGGTGGAGAACGAGGAGGAGTTTGAGGTAATCAGTCTCTCAGCCTGGAATCGATGCGTTCATTCCATCAATCTTGGGACTGATTACCTTGAACTCCTCCTCGTCTAACACTTTTATTCTCTGTATTTGACTGAAGAAGCCGCTGGCTGGCGAAACGTTAACTTAATAAAGATTCCCATATGTTGCACAAGTGTCTGCTTCAGCTTGCCAGTCTTCAAAACTATGTATTTTTATCATTCCTATGTACACAGTCGCATACTTTCTGCTCAAGTAGATGTTTGTGAATTGTTAAAGCCCACTGTGTGGACAAAACGTAGTCAGTATTATTATTATTATCAAAACTAAGCGCTAAACATAGTCGATTAAAGGCTCGCATTACGCTGCGTTTGTGTTTTTTTTTTTCATCTTGAGGTTCTCTCCTTAATGTTTGTGGAAGACGATTTTGTGTACTGGCTAGCTCTAAACCCATGTTGGTTAAATAATGGGTTATGTATGTAGTTTTTTCCAGCTAAGCAATCTGCTAATATTTTGAAGTTTAAATAACTATCATGTTATCTGTTCCATGGGAAAAATAGTTAATTGTTCTAGAAAATATTTAGATATAAGCAAGAAGATCTTTTATGAAAATTCTGTTTTATTCAGTGGGTTGTGCAATACAGGTATTCTTCACTTAACGACCGAGTTCTGTTCCTAAGAGTAGGTTGGTAAGCAAATTGGTTGTTAAGCAAGGAGCTGCCCCTTACTGATATTTCAAGCATACTGCACTTTAGTAGGTTTATGTCAACCATTTTTATATACAGTGGACCCCTGGCTTACGATATTATTTCATTCCAGAAGTATGTTCAGGTGCCATTACTGAACGATTTTGTTCCCATAAGGAATATTGTGAATTAGATTAGTCCATTTCAGACCCCCAAACATACACTTACAAACGCACTTACATAAATACACTTACATAATTGGTCGCATTGGGAGCTGATTGTACAGCGGGGGTCCACTGTATTGTTTTAATGTCACCTTTGCAACATTTATAACACTTTTAGTATATCTTAGAAAGAGAACTAGGCATTAAAAAACAATAAAAATGTAAAATACACATACAGTACACTGGTCAGAGAGCTAGTTGTAAGTTCGAGCTGTTGTTAAACAGGTTGGTCGTTAAGTGAGGAGTACCTGTATAGACAGTTATATTTTAAACAAATAGAAGAGAACCTACTTACCTGGAGGTTGTTCCAAGGGTCAACGCTCCTGTGGCCTTGTCCTTGACGAGACCTCTCAGTGGATCTGGGCCTGATCAACCAGGCTGTTACTTTTGGCTGCATGTAATCCTACGTACGAGCCACAGCCTGACTGATCGTGCACTGAGTCTGTTGGTAATTCCTCTTATCGCGTTTTCTATTAGTGTACTCATGGCACCCCCTGCTTTTCATTGAGGGTATGTTACACTATCTGCTGAGTCATTTGCTTTTGTAGGGAGTGATTTCTGTGTGCAGATTTAGGACCAGTTCCTATGGGATTTTCCAGGTATAAATTACAATAAATTTTTCTTGCCTGGGTTCCAGGGAGTACAGGTCAAGGTGCTTCAAATGTTTTCAGTAATTAAGGTGCTGGACTGAACTAATACATGCAGTGCAGGTTCTCTGTATATACTCTGTATACTCTGTATTTACCCGAAATGCCTTGGCACGATAATGGCTTTCTTTGTACTTAACTAATCAAAATTGTAAATACACATTGTAACCTTGCAAAGAAATAAAATCTTTATCATCACTTTTTTTTATCTGTAGTCTCACCTCCTCGAATGGGGCTGTTAGTGCACAGCGGTATTTCAGCCTAGATAAATTAATTTAATAACTTATCCAAACAAAAAATGACCTAATCTTATCTAGTCATAAAATTCTTGATTAGATTAGGTTGGGTAACATTAGGTTAGATTATATAAAAAGAAAGTCCTCTCCAGTAGGTACTAAAATACGTAGTATATATATTTCTGTATAAAATCTTGATTGTGCAACACATTTTAAGCCCTAGAAGTTAAATAAAAGTAATAGACCCAGGAGTAAATTACATATTTAACAAATAATGATTTTTTCACAAAGATTTGCATAATGAAAAAAAAAAAATCCTTTTTCACAATGCAAAGATTTGAAACTAAAAAAATTCAATTTTTTCACTAAGTATTCTTAAACATGGATAATTTTATGTAATGACTGAATTAGTTAATCTCTGTTTGTCAAAATATAAATATTGTTAAAATCTGGTAAAAGTTGTAGTTTCACAATAAATAAATAAGTAAATAATATTAATTTATATATTTTTGTATTTTCAATATTTTTTTATTTTTAATTTTTTTATTTTATTTTTTATATTTTAATGAACATTATCTCTCAGTCCAGGGCAGTACTCAGCCTGCACACATTGCATCAAAGTACACAGTACTTATGCCACAGCCAGACACCAATATAAATATGGGCATATAGAAGAAGCCAGGCGTTGTTCCCATAACCCAGAGAACATGGCCTGTATCTCATCTCATCCTACTATGTGCATTGGCCTTGTTAGAGATTCCAGGGTATGGGAAACAATGCCTAGCTTCTGCTAGGTGCTTATGCTTTGATGCTTGTCTAACCTATGGGCATGAAATACTTGTTGATTTTGTCCACCAATGGCACCACCACCAACTGCTTCACCTCACCTGTCTACAGTGCATAAGCCCCTTCTCCACTTGTATACTGTATTTTTATCAAGTTTAATGAACTGATCACATCATCTCCATCTAAGAGACTGATTACCTCAAACTCTTCCTCAGTTTCCACTGTTCTTTATGTTGGACTGATGAAGTCACTGGCTGGCAGAACATTTCTTCATTAAAGATACCCAGATGTTGCACAAGTGTCTCATTCATTAGCTTGTTGGTTTTCAGAATCATTTCTATAATATTGTGCAATCAATTGGAATGTATTACTACTGTATGGCTTATGATAAATAAATATTTTAATTTTAATTTAATAAATATATGCTATATTGGTTGCTGGAGGCTGTAAGAGTAAGCTAATCTTTATTCAGACAGTTTAAATGTAATTTACCCCTCAAGGGAGGTTCGTTGTTGCCAGTGAAGGGCTCTTGATCCATTAAATTGAGCCTGTACACCCTTGGATTGAACCTGATGACAATACTGTCAATTCTTCATGCTCTGTAGGATCCCCTACTGGTTTGTATTCTCTTTTAAATATAATACTGGTTGGCCATCACTTATCTGGCAATCAGTTATCCGGTTCCATCACTAATCGAGCACTAATTTCAGCTAGCATAATTTCAAATTTCATCATTATACTGACTCAAATTGTGTGGATGGTTGTAAATCCACAGCAGCAAGCCAGTGGAGGAGAAAGCAGTGATGAAAAGGAGGAAGATGTAGCAAAAAAAGTCTCTATTAATAGGTTAATTAAGTGTATTCTAACCTAACCACTCTGTAATCCAGCAAACTCGCTAATCCGGCACACTACAGGTCCACTGATGCCGGATCAGTGATGGCTGACCTGTAATAATAATAATAATATCTTTATTTACTACAGGTGCATGTACATGGTATACAGGCCTAGCTGACATCAGTGACATACTACTATATAGAAAACCCCTTGTTATGCTGAGCATTTCGGGCAAATTAGGTCAGTGTCCCAGGATGCGACCCACACCAGTCGACTAACACCCAGGTACCCATTTTACTGATGGGGAACATAGACAATAGGTGTAAAGAAACACGTCCAATGTTCCTACTCTGGCTGGGAATCGAACCCAGACCCTCGCCGTGTGAAGCGAGAGCTTTAGCCACCAGGCCACCAGAGCATATTTAACATTAGATTATGCAATGATTCCAATAAACACAATTGCTATAGGCATACATAGGTTGTGAATGTGATAATGGCATAAAATACTGACAAGTTGATAAGTAAGACATATGTGCAACAGTTGGGTATCTTTATTCCTAAATGTTTCGCCTACACAGTAGGCTTCTTCAGTCGAGCACAGAGGAGGCAGCAGAAGCAGTAGAGACGTAAAGACAATGTAATCAGACCATCACTCTTGAAGACTTAGTTTTGTGGTGATCAGCCCCTCAGCCTGGAGAAGAGTTTTGCTCCATACATTGGTGGTAAATTATTTAAATTTAACCAAGGAAAAGCCAGCAAAGTCAGTGCTACTTATTATTTGGCTCACTCTGCCAAATGCCAGATAACCAAGCTGTGATAGATATTTTGGCCAGGGGGCTGCCAAAAGCAACAGCCTGGTTGAATGGATAATTGACAAAAAAGGCCTGATCCCAAGCCAGACTGAGTGTAAAAAAAAAAAAATGGGAACTGGTCATGGGTAGTGAGACTGGAAACTCATCAAAGGTATGGGTGTATTTTAAAATGAGCAGATGTGATGCATCCTAGCCCCATGGATTTTGTGAAATTTATGCTTGAACTAATATATTGAGTTTATTTCTTCCATTTCATTCCCCATTGGATTCCACTCCTCTCACATTTCCCTCACACTTAAGGAGTTCCTTACATTTCCATCCACACGTCCAGGTTCCACCCGCATGCTGGTCATCATTTACTCACTCGTCACTAAGTTGCTATCAAAGTGTAGTAGCAGGAGCTCTTGCAATGCAGGATGATTGAGTTTAATAGCCAGATATTCTGTGCTCTTTTTCCATTGTAGTTGTAAAATATTCAGCATTCCTTATATATTGTATTTTTTTAAAATGATAGAGTATAATAGTAGTGAATGGGGGATATCAAAGAGATTGTTATGTATAACTACACTGTTATGTTTTAGCCTGTATTCACATTCATAGTAATTATGTATTCCCAATTTTCTCTACTTTAGCAACAGGCTGTTGCTTCGTCATGCCAGTCAAAACTCACTTGATGAGAGTTCGCAGAAACACATTCCACGTTCAGAGACCAAACACAAGCTGCCCTATAGGAATCCTCAACACTTTCCTCGAGCATTTGACAATTTGAATTTGATGCGCAGGTGAGGTTTGAATGTCAATGTCAAAAACAAACACTACATATCTTCACAAGGTAATAATTTTGTCAGTTACAATTAAATTTGCACTTGCCTGTTTGCAATTCTTTATATATGTTATTGTTTGTGAAAACCTGAAGTATGAACTACGGTTTGATTGTTTTGGACAAATGAACGTTTATACGGTACATACATATACATGTACATTGTTTAGCATGGTGGTCCTGAACCTTCCTACACAAATTTGCCACATTTGATGGTCAAATGTGTGATGAGGGCTGCATGGTTTTGTTGACACCGTGCATTGTGGAACCTACATAAAATGAATTCATAATTTCATATGATGGCTGCATCCATTTCCTAGAAGAGCCACGTGCAGCCCTCGGGCCGTACGTTAGGGACCCCTGGTTTAGCATGCTAGCAGTCCACAGAGATGTCAGTGGGAAACCATACCACGGGCGGAGATAGAACCCGCGATCAGAGAGTCTCAAAACTCCAGACTGTCGCGTTAGCCACTGGACCGGCTAGCCACAGTAAGATTCGTCCAACTAAGTATATTTCTACACCATAAGAAGATTAGCATAGGCACCACTGTGGCCACAAATGCAAGTTTTTACCGACGAATCTCCAGCTAGCGTGGCCGTGACGAACTCTAGCTCAAGTCCCCTCAAATCCGTAAACATGACTCACGAAATCGTAATGATACAATTGCAAACAAACCATACCACGGGTGGGGATAGAACCTGCAATCAGAGATTCTCAAAACTCCAGACCGTCGCATCAGCCACTGGACCAGCTAGCCACAATAAGATTCGTCCAACTAGGTATATAGTGGACCCCCGAGTTTCGTGATTAATCCATTCCAGAGAGCCCACCGAAGGTTGAAATTCACGAAACTTGAAACCATTTTCCCCATAAGAAATAATGGAAATAAAATTAATCCGTTCCAGACACCCAAAAATATTAAAATAAATTTTTTTTTTCAAATTAAATAAAGATTTACATAATGAAAACAATCAGAAATCAAGTACATGCATTTAAAATAAATAATAATAACATTACACTTACCTTTACTGAAGACTTCTGTGTGGATGGAAGAAGGGAGGAGGGGATAGGAGGAAGGTGTACACTATTTTTTGGAAGGAGAATCTCCTTCCATTAGGACTTCAGGTATGAATTCCATATCTGGGGTTACTTCCCTCCTTCTTTTAATGCCACTGGGACCAGCTTGAGAGTCACTGGACCCCTGTCCCACAAAATATCTGTCCAGAGAGGTCTGTTTCTGGCATTTCTTTAAGATTTCCCTGAAGTGGGACACAACACTGTCGTTGTACATGTTGCCAATACGGCCTGCAACAGCTTTGTTAGGGTGAAGTTCATCCATAAATGTTTGAACTTCAGTCCACTTTGCACAAATGCCCTTAATCTTTGAAGAAGGCACCTTCCTCCATCTCTCTTTCTCCTCCTCTGCAGCAGTTTCCTGAGCTGTGATCTGTTGCTGTTGCAGATGAAGCTCTTGCAGCTCTTCAGTGGTTAGCTCTTCCCTGTGGTCCTCCACCAACTCTTCCACATCCTCACCACTCACCTCCAACCCCAGGGACATCCCCAATGCTACAATAGTTTCCACAACTGGCATAGGTTCCTTAGGGTCAGCCACAAACCCTTCAAAATCCCTCTCTTGTACACAATCTGGCCACAAATTTCTCCAAGCAGAGTTCAAAGTCCTGGAAGTCACCCCATCCCAAGACTTACCTATAAGGTTTATGCAATGGAGGATATTAAAGTGATCTTTCCAGAACTCTCTTAGGGTCAATTCAGTGTCTGAGGTCACTTCAAAGCACTTCTGAAACACTGCTTTGGTGTAGAGTTTTTTGAAGTTTGAAATGACCTGCTGGTCCATAGGCTGGAGGAGAGGAGTGGTATTAGGAGGCAAGAACTTCACCGTGATGAAACTAAACTTCTCCACTATTTGCTCTTCCAAGTCTGGAGGATGAGCAGGAGCATTGTCCATTACCAGGAGGCACTTGAGTGGCAATTTATTTTCCAGGAGGTATTTCTTCACACTGGGGCCAAACACTTCATTAAACCAGTCTAGGAAAATTCCCCTTGTGACCCATGCCTTACTGTTAGCCTTCCACATCACACACAAGTTACTCTTGGCGACACTGTATTTCTTGAACACTCTGGGATTCTCAGAGTGATACACCAGTAAAGGCTTCACTTTAAAATCCCCTCTAGCATTACTACAAAGCATGAGAGTAAACCTGTCTTTCATAGGCTTGTGTCCTGGGAGTGCCACTTCCTCCTGCGTGATGTAGGTCCTCTTTGGCATTTTCTTCCAGAAGAGGCCTGTTTTGTCGCAATTAAACACTTGCTGGGGTTTGAATTCTCCAGTGTCTATGCACTCCTTAAACTCCTGTACAAACTTCTCAGCTGCTTTTTTGTCAGAACTGGTAGCCTCACCATGCCTTATCACACTGTGAATGCCACTACGCTTCTTAAATCTCTCAAACCAACCTTTGCTGGCCTTAAAATCACAAGCATCGCCACTTGTCGCAGGCATGTTCTTTACGAGATCGTCATGCAACTGCCTTGCCTTTTCGCATATTATCGACTGCGTAACACTATCTCCTGCTAACTGTTTTTGGGTAATCCACACCAACAATAACCTCTCCACTTCTTCGAGGATTTGTGATCTTTTTGTCAGCATATCCACCCCTTTTGCAACAACAGCACACTTTATTTCCTTTCCTTTCGCCACGATCGAAGTGATGGTTGTATGGGGCTTGCCATACATCCTGGCAAGCTCTGTAACATGCACTCCACTCTCATATTTTTCAATGATTTCCTTCTTGAATTCGATCATGTTCCTCACTTTCTTTACCAAAGGGCTTGCACTAGCTTTCCTTGGGCTCATGGTGACTTATTTAGCAGTTGTAATCACAAAAAACAATGGATTATTACATATGAACCCACGGGGTGATGGTCACGTGTTGGTAAACAATGGCACACTGAGTGAGAATGGCGTGGGAGACTGGCTTTGTGTGTGCGGTGACGGGCGGACGGGTACCGGACGGTCACGAAACTCGAGGCCAAATTTTTCCAAAAAAAACTCGCCGAAGGTCGAATTTCACGAAAGTCGAGGCTGCCGAAACTCGAGGGTCCACTGTATTTCTACACCATGGGAAGGTTAGCATAGGCACCACTGTGACCACAAATGCAAGTTTTTACAGACGAATCTCCAGCTAGCGTGGCTGTGACAAACTCTAACTCAAGTCCCCTCAAAGCCATAAACATGACTCATGATCGCGGGTTCTATCCCCGCCCGTGGTATGGTTTGTTTGCCATCGTGTCATTACGATTTCGTGAGTCATGTCAGTGGGAGTTTCACACTAAAAGTCAGATCTACTGAATTAGTGATGCTGAACACCTGAGGCTACTACCAGCATCATGTGCTTTCTGATCTAAAGTATGGATACTGGTATTCTCTCCTGTTGGGGAATTTATTTAAAAGAATATAGTAACCTAACAGAATTAAATAAACATTTTAAATATGAATGAAATAGAATAAAATAGGTAAATTACCTAAAAGGCATGTATGGTTTGGGTAGCCTACACAGCATAATCTATGAGTTTATTGCTGAAGATTCTATAATAGACCGTTTTTGCAAGGTAGGTTCCTTGATGCTGGTGAGGTGCTCTAGATCCAAGGAATTGGACTTAACCTCCATTGCCTTTGATGAAACATGATTGCCTCTTCTTTCCCCAGGGCAATGTATGACCCCCTCTAGGTTTAGCACTTCCCTCATACATGTAATATAATAGACCCTAATTTTTATATGATATAATTTTTTCTAAGCCATATATCTAAGGGTGTAACTTGGGGCTTGATTTTTTGTGTTAATATAAATCTGCTTAAGATCAAGTGAACAGGGTACATACAGTTAAACTCTCAAACTTCTTTATTTATGGAATCTGATCATGAAGCCTTTATTATTTACAAGCTTTTTGGCAGTGCCTATGTTTTCTTTGGCTTAGTGGAGAGCCCTAAGCCACATTGGCTTTCCCACACCAGCGATCTCGCGCCAAGGAAGGTTGATCCAACAAAGAGGAAATATGTACATTCACAGTCATTCATTCACTCGCTCTCTTATCAGAAATGTGCTGACATCATAGTTCAGATGGCATGAGTGAACCACTTTGTATAACTTTCAGTATTAACCAAATTACAGTGACAATTACAGTGACATCCCAAATCCAAAAGTTTCTTACGAATGTGGGGGTTCATATGTCCACTTAGAGTTGTGTGTGTATGTGTGTACTCACCTATTTGTACTCACCTATTTGTGGTTGCAGGGGTCGAGTCACAGCTCCTGGCCCCGCCTCTTCGCTGATTGCTACTAGGTCCTCTCTCTCCCTGCCCCATGAGCTCTATCATACCTCGCCTTAAAACTATGTATGGTTCCTGCCTCCACCACATCACTTTCTAGGCTATTCCATGGCCTGACTACTCTATGACTGAAGAAATACTTCCTAACATCCCTTTGATTCATCTGAGTCTTCAACTTCCAATTGTGTGTGTATATGTATGTGTGTATATGTATATGTATGTGTGTATATGTATGTATATGTATGTATTTATAAATATAGCATTTTTAAACTGAGATTTCATACTTTCATGAATGGAATGAATTGTGGCATTCCCAAACCTGTAGCCTCACCTGATGGCATATCAGTTTTGGAACTAGCATTTTTATGCAATCCATCTTTCCTAGACAGGTTCTACTAATGCAAAATATTCATTTAATACCTGACTTTTATCATGATTCAGGGTAAAGACTAACTTTTATGTCCTCTGTGCATGCCATTAATTGAAAGTTTACTTGAATCCTTATCTAAGCAATTAAAATATTGTTGTGAGTGTCCAAATGAATTACAGCTTTAATAATTTTTGTTATTCCTTCAGGTTTTAATCTGATGATTTCAGACAATTTAAGTAGGGAAAA